AAAGATATTTAAAACTGATTCTTATTAACAAAATCAGAGTTAATAGCTATTTAGTTTGTATTTTTAATAATATCAAAAAAAAATTAAAATTTATACAGATAATATAATAGCAATATTAAGTTTTAATAAAAGAAAAAAGAGGTAAAGGATAGTAATCCTAGTGTAGTAGTTATATTGTCATTCTCTAAGTGGCAGGTCTAAAGTTTAAATCCCACTTATAATAAAATTTAAAAATTATATTTGCATTATAGTAACTGTCTTTTGTTAATTAATTGACCTTATATAGCTATAACCCAGATACACCAAGTAAGGTCCTACTAATATTAGGAGCTTGGGGCATCTATACAAAGTGTACTATTACATATACATAGAGGAATATATAACTAGTGTTACATAAGACTTTGGTGCAAATCTATGATAAGACTACCAGATATAGAAAATTAAGAAACTGTGATAATAAAAACCTATTTGGAAATTCTTGAGTAAAGAGGTAGTATGAACTTTTGATGATACTATCAGACCAGTTGAAGCCTATAAAACATCTTCATAGAAACTAAAAGTTAAATTGAATATCAAATATGTATAAAGATGCATATAACCAACCAGGCCATCAGACTCATCAGAGAAAAAAAATACAGAAGTATATTATACCAGGTCATCTGGATTAGTGGTTTGGAAGAGATTGCTAGTTCTGAGTTGTGACTAGTAGAGGATGATGAAAAAGATGCCAAACAGATAAGTACTGAGGTTCTAGTAAACTTTATAAGAATAGAAATAGTATAATATAGCAGTTAAACAAATAACTCTTATGATTGCAAGTATTAGATAACTATAGCATGTTACATAAAACTAGATCAGTATATGTGGAACATAAAGGCTCTAGTAAGTTTTCTATTGAGAATAAAGTAGTTTTAAGAGTATTGACTAGTATTAGAAACTTGAATAAATGTAGCCTTAAAGATGTTTTCATGATACAAGAAGAATTGCATATGCAGAATGTTTAAATAGGCAAGACCTTTAGTTGGCTTGCAGATATAGTAATTAGTATAGAACTTATATAGTAATGTATAAGCAAACTACTTAATTAGGCACCAAAAAGTGCACATATAACTAGTTGTAACCTCCAATATAAGGTAGCCCTTAGAGGCATGTCATGTTCTAATATATTTGAATAAAAATAACACATTTTGAAGATAAAGACTTTAACATTAAAAAAAAAAAAAAGAGATGTAACAATTTAGTAAAGTAAATAAGTTGTTAACTTTCAAATGATAGATTGTAAGTTTAAAACCCACTGATAGTAAAAATTTAAATAATTATCTCTGTAATATATAGACAGTATTATAGTAACAGCATTCTGTTAGTCAGTTAGAATAAGATACCTATAACTATAGTTACACTAGCATAACTAACAGGTTATAAAATATCTGTATAATCTTAATTATACAGAGAAATACAAATCAATATCAGGTAGTGCAAACTTAAAATAAGTTCTTATATCTGTATAAATCTATAAAACTAAGAAAAATTAAAACTTATTTAAAAAGATACAAGTAAAAAGGTAACATGAATCTTTGACAATACTACTATAAAGACTTGATTTAGAAAACAGATATCAATGTAAAGGAGCTAAATAAGCAAAAACCTTAAAATGAGAAGTATTATCAATTAAATTATCAGAATCAAATTAAAAAAAAAATATTAGGCTAGCTTAATATACTAAGAACAAGTTATAGTCCTATTAGACTATCTAAATTGAAAGTTTTGGATCAAAGCAGAGATATATTATAAGTACTAGAGATATGCTGTGAAGTAGATATTAAGGTTCAGATAAACTCTACAAAGGCTAGCCTTGTTAATGTTTTATAAAGTAGGTAGATAGTTAACAAGAAGGCACTTTGGAGCCTTACAGTCAAGTGACATGCTTTGAAATATATAACAGCTTAACAGATATACAAAAAAGAAGGTTAAATATTAGGTTAAAAAACACTTAGTTGTATAAGAACCAGGTGTTATTTGTTTAGATGTAGTATAAGAATTAGAGTATTTAAATAGATACTCTTTTACTAGGTTACAAATATAACAGCTAGTATAGAACTCTTAAGTGGACTACTTAAATAGATAACCAAAAGTTATATATATACCTAGTTGCATACTTACTATGTACAAGTTATATGTAATGTATTAGCTAAAACTCAAATAAAGATGATAGCTATTGATAAAATCAGCCTTAGCAAAATAAAAATAAAAATAAAAATAAAAAAAAAAGTAAATCATAGATTAAAAAAATTATAAGCTAAAAAAAAGTATAATAAAGCTATTTGAATTAAAAAAATTAAAATTATTCTTAGTTAAAGTAAAAAGATATAATAATAACAAATAGAATACTAGACTAAATAAATTAACAAAAAAAAAAGATAATATAAATAATTAAATAGAATTATAAATATACTATTACTAAATTCAAATATATTGCTTTATTAAAAAAAATTTTATAAAAGAAATAACAAGATAATTTATTAAAATTAATATAGAATAAAGATTATATTATTTGTTTAAAAATTAGAATCAAATAAGAAAAAAAAAACATTATTGGTTAATACTATAAAAAATCAGAAATTAAACTAGAATCAGATATATAATTAGAAAAAAAATAGAAAAATCACAACATTAATTAAATATATTAATAAAAAACTATTAGCATTAAAAACTTTAGTAAAAAAATATTCAGATATATACAAAAACCTATATTATATTCTGTATAATAAAGACAAAGAAAAAGATCAAGAACATCTAATATATAAAATTTATAAAAAAAATAGGCTAATACAAAAAATTCAACTATTAATTTGTTTAAACAATGCTTTTAGAAGAAACTTATAAGAAGACAAGCAAATTAAAGTTAACAAAATTTTTATAAAAAATTTAATAAAAGAAAAAGTTAAATATAAATCTAGAAACATTAAAGAATTAATTCAAAAAAAGATCAAAACAATATTACCAATCTTATCCAAATTCTTAAAAAAATTAAAGAGTTTATAACTATTTAGATAAATGCAGCATGAAATAACTTTTTTTAAAAACATATAGAAAAAGCATTATAAAATAATAACTAACTAAAAAAAAAAAATAAAATTACCTATAAATAAAAAACAAAATAGAGATATATTAAATAATAGAATAATCAACAAACAGATATATAATAAGAAAAAAGTAGTATAGTAAATAATCAAAATTAATTTATAAAAAAGAGAAAGAAGTAGAATAAAAAAAAAATACAAAAATTATAATTAGTTTTAGTTGTTAGTTTTATAAAAACAAAAAATAAGATTATTTTTATAGTTTTAACAGCTAACTTTATATAATTCTCTAATCAGATTAATTTCTAACCAGCATAACAGACTGCTTCTAAGCACTTATATAAGTAACTAAAAGATTTTAAACAGGGATTTAAGCAACTTTGTACAAAATATATATACAAAAATCTTAATAAAGATGATTAGCAAGGTTATCAAAGTAAAAAAAACTATATTTGAGCTATTTAAAAAAGATTTTGAAAAATTTTAGATCAAATTACAAGATAGAATAAAATATAGAATATATGTTTTCTTAAATTAGTAATTCAACTATTTTAAAATGTTCTAAGAAATAGTTTGTTTGTAACTTGTATAATATTAAATAATTAGTTGTTTATAAATTAATCATCAATTGCAATTGAGTTAAACAGTATAAAATCTTTTGAAATACACTATGACAGAACTAAATAAAAAGATAGTTTAAAAAGATATTAAATTTAGAAAAATAATATTTTATAAGCATTATACTAGTTGAGTTCAAGTAAAAATATGGATTTAAAAAGGCTTTTTAGAAAATATGCATCTAAGGTGTTTGCATTTAAAAGACTATAATGTATTGACACATTTCTTTATACTAAAGATATTTTATTTTTCAACAAAATGTTAACATTACTTAATTAGAATCGACCGGGACGACCTTCAAATTTGCGGGTCATGTAAGAAAAATGCCACTGCTGCTAGCTCATAAATATATAAATATGTAACATTATGATAATAACTCAAGATTATATTGGGAAAATTAACAATCACACATACTCTACATGCAACTGTGACAGTGGCGCTACTCAGATGGCCCGTAAAATTGAAGGCCGATTCACTTAATTACAAATTTTAACTATTATTTGATGCACTTACAGATTTATACAGTTATATTATAACTCAAAAGTATAAGAAAGTTTACATTAATAAATACATTTTATGCTATTTTTAGTTATGTTTAACAGTATGTGTTTTTTTAATAAAATAATTATTTTGCTTTGTATATTCTGTACAATTGTATCACATAATATAAGTAAAAAACAAATTTTTAACGTAGATCAAGAACATTTTTGTGCTTTTATTTCTAATAAAAAAAGAGATTCTTGCAAAATTTTAATGCTTTGTTACCAGCTTGTTGATTTAAGCATTACTTTAAAAAGCATTACCGAAACTTTTGTTCTTTAGACACAAAATTTGCGCTACAATCTGATTGGTAAATTTATCCCGTGATAAGGTGGAAGTCATTTGCAAACGAGCTTTGTTTATGTCACGTGACCATCTCAGAAATCGGGGTGGCAATAACAGTTCCCTAAAAAGAGCATTTTATTCCTTATATTATAAAATTTTAGTAGTAAAATCATGATATGATATACATACCCCTACCGTTTTCACTTACTGCATGTTGACATGCGACTTTTATTTTATTTGTTTATTTATTAATAAACTTTATAACTTTTTAAATCAAAGATATGCTATTATTTATGCGTCAAACAAAACGCTTACAATGGTAATAATGACGATAATAAGAGTTTTTATTTAACAATTTTTATTAAAATAATACACATACTTATATGTTTTATATCGAATTTGCTCATTTTATTGGGCTTTCAATGACTTGAACCTGATTATATGTATTATACCAGTTTGAATAATGATTTTACCATTTTATAGACGTGCTTTTATCTTTGATTCTTCTAAAGTAAGCACGTTAAAACCTTTACCGTTCCTCAACATTCTCCTCAATATCTTTCCTGATAAACTTTTAGGAATTTTATCAACGAACACTACACCACCTTTTAATCTTTTAAAATAACTAACTCTACTCGCGACAAATTGTAAAATTTCTTGTTGCAACTTTATGGTTGGCCCTTGTCCTTGGGGTACGACATATGCACGTGGCAATTCTGTGGCCTCTTTTTCCGAGTACACACCGATTACAGCAGCGTCAGCTATCGCAGGATGTGTTAAAAGGAGAGATTCTAATTCTGCTGGTGCTATTTGAAGACCCTAATGATAGATAAATTTGAAAATAGTAATTTTGTGAATAAGACTGAAAGCAAAATACAGTCGCACCCCCTAAGTGCGGTCTATATAAAACCTCTCTAAATGCATATAATATAATTTGGTCCCAATTTATAAAATCCCTATGTATTTTACTCTATAAATGCAAATTTTTGATTTTTTTCACTATGGTTCTGACGAGATGCACTTAGGGGGTGTGACTATAAATAGAATTAAATGTTTCGTTTTACCTTAAATTTGATCAATTCTTTGACGCGGTCTATTACATAAAAATATCCTAAAAACCATTTTTTTGTAAGATTTAAGTTATTAGTTGTCTATACAATATTTAAGATCAAATCAAATATCGTTATTCTTTAAGAAACATATTTATATGTCATTCATTTAATTACCATCTTTATCAACTGTAGCAATATCCCCTGTACGGAACCAACCATCTTTATCTATGCAGTTATCGGTAGCTTCCTTGTTGTTAAGATATCCCTGAGTTTGTTTATGTTTGTTTTTAATTTAAAATTAGAAAATTAATTTCATATCAAATGACAAACTTTTTTAAATAAACGGTACTTACTTTCATGACCATTGGACCACGAAGATATAATTCTCCAGGTTGATCAAATCCAAGCTCTACAAAAACAATAATATTAATATCAATAATGTTAATACTGAGAGAAAAAACATTTAGATACCTACCATGGCCATTTTCAGATATGATCTTTGCTTGAATATTCGGAAGAAGAACCCCAACAGATCCTAAATATAAGAAATGTAGTTTCTTAAATAACTTATTAATGATCAAATAATTTTATAAATAAAATAATTACCATTTACAAGTTTTTCAAGAGGTCCAATATGGGATATTGGTGAGGTCTCGGTAAGCCCTGTTAAATAAATATATATATATATTAAAAAGTATTTTCATATTAGGTATATAGGTTCAAAATTTTAAAAAATGTTATAGTCAAATGTCGGTATACCCAGATGTCGATATAACCAGAGTAACGTGTAGTAATAAAATATACAATTGAAACAATACCATATAATTGTTTAATAGGAATTCGATATATCCTGTCAAAGTCGTCACTCAATGATTTGCTTAGAGGAGCAGCACCACACATAACATATTTTAGATTACATTCTGCAGGATTTTTCACCATGAGCAACAAGATTGGAGGCACGACAGGGGCAATATCAACTTTATAATCTTGAATCGCTTTGAAAAACGTTTTGATATCGAATTTTTGAATTACGATTGTTGTTGCTCCCTTTTAGAATTATCGGTAATAAAAATATATATCAAGTTAACGAAATCGTAAGATAATGCAGTAAAGAATGATTTGCAAATGTAAATATTACCAGAAGGAGAGCAAAATGTAGGTTGACACTAAGAGCATACATATGGTAGAATGGCTATAAAATTACACAAAAAGTAGGCCATAGAATGATTAAATATTTAAAGCTGTCTATATCGACGCACAACTTATATTTGATATAATCACCAATACTCCAAGATAACAAAGACTACTATGGACATTATCCCCTTCAAAAGCACGAGTCTGCATAAGATTAGCAATAAAATTATAATGCGTTGTTTCTACACCTTTACTTCTCCCTGTAGTCCCAGAACTGTAACACAAGAACGCGGTAGTGGTTTTAATTTCTTCCGGTGTAAAACGTACAGGCTCTGCTTCATGTATACCAAGTAAGCTGGTATAAGGTTGAATTCCATTAACTTCATGATCACCGAACACAAATATATTGGATTCCGGAATTTTTGCGTTGATAGACGCTTCAATTGCTTTTGATATGGTATCTGGATGAGCAATTATAACGGTGGCTCCGGAATCGAGTAATTGATATGTCAATTCTTTTGCAGTATATGAACAATTGGCTGGTGACACTTTTCCTCCTAAAAGGTAACAAAACGATATACGTATTAGAAATTTGTACAATAATACAAATCTATATAATCTAATAATAATCCAATATACTTAACCAGCTGCCAAACATCCAAATACAACGGTTGCATAATCGATCTGAAATAAACATAGTAAATAATTTATAATTAAACGATCAAAAAAAAAAAAAAAATTAACAATAAAATTTAAACGACAATTCGAACCTGATTTGGTGAATAAATACATAAAACATCACCACGCTTGAATCCAAGATGATCTTGCAATCCTGCAGCAAATCTTCTTGTGTCACTCTTCAAATCACCAAAACCAATCTTTTTATGAGTTATGGCATCAATAAACACCGCTTTATCGTCTGAGATTTGATTTGGATTACTCATGACGAACTGGTAAATCCCAACATCACAAGGAATCTCAACATCAGGATATTTCGATTTAAAAATAACCATTTTCAAAGATATTAAAAATTTTTTGATAAATTGTGGTTTAATTCAAGGCGTAATTTAGAACAGAGTATTTATATAAAATTAATATACACCAGTTTTCTAAATGTATCTTTCAATGATCTTTACATCATTAATTACAATAAATCATTTATTTATTATATGCGAACAGTTATTGATTTTTCTATATTTTTGTTATATACTTCCATATTTGAATAGCTAGGTTCCAAAAGTGATACAATCAATGTAATAATGCAGTCTTATGCCATCATAACCGGTTTTCGTGGCGGAGCCGTAGTTGCATAATTATCGTTATGTCAGATTTTCGCATCCGGTGGTGGTATTCGTTATATTTTTTTAATATAGAAATAACTCCTAAAACAATGTGCATGCGAGACCGTTAATGTTACACATATATTAAAACTGGCGAGGGATTATATCCATCACAATTGAATTCAACATAAATAATTTAATTTGTGATTGATCAGGGAGGGATTCACTTTGGATCGGGCACTGTCTTTGCTGTAGTGCATGCATATGACATTATTTTTAAATTAACACGGTCATTTGATATTCCAATTATGTAATGGTAAAGAAATTTGGTGATTTAAAAGTCGAATTCCGCAAATCCGCCATTATTTGATGTTTACTAACTTTTCCCCAAAGTTTCTGATGATGCTGAAACATTGACTTATTTTAATATAAAATTTTAAAATTTTGGGGTGATGTTTTTTTTAGCTTTTTTTGTAGTTAGGTTAGGGTTTAGGGTTAGTATTTATAATAAAAAAGTACATGTGGAGAGTTTATACGTATTTCTAAATCGAGACTTCCATGTTTTAGCATCATCGCTGGCAATTTTGCCCAAGATCACCAAAAGTTTTATCAATCAACTATTCATTAAGTAAATAAATGATTTTTGGCTCACTCATTAAGTAAAGCTGCCCAGACTGATAATTTTGGCCCAGAAATGGTTGACTTGTATTGCCTAAATCCCAACAGGGGTTAAATCACCACCAAAAAAATTTTCAACTATCCTAACTAGCAAATCAAAAGTTCAAGATCAGATGGAACGTAATACGCAGAAGGAAACGTCGGTGTTACACAACTGATCCTTCACCCGGTGTGCAACATATAAAAAAAATTATTTTACAATACCAGATCATTCTGCTAGTACATGTTATGATTATAATCCAACACCATTTTATTATAATAAAAATGGTGTTGGATTATAACCATAACATGTACTAGCAGAATGATCTGGTATTGTAAAATAATTTTTTATATGTTGCACACCGGGTGATGTTTTCTCCGTTGCACATAACTCAAAATTTAGGCACTAATCCAATTGAAAAAATTTTGAGTGGTGAATTAACCAGGGTAGGATCCGACCCGGAAATTTGGAGCTCCCCTGTAAAAATGATTTTGTAGGTTATTTTATCCAATCCTAAAATTTGCACTTTGTTCAAAAGTCCTGCAAAGAAGCTGAGCCGATCGACTACAAGCACTAATTCTGATTGGATGAAAAAAAATTTTGATTTTTTTTTTAAAAATTTTTATATTGAATTATTGCGGTTTTCGAAATGGTTGAAAATAGCAAATAACTTTTTTTTTTGGCGTACACTCGATTACCTTAGCACGTTGGTTGAAGATTGATGCCCGAAACAATTATATAAAATTGGGCATCGATCTTTAATCAACGTGCTAAGGTAATCGAGTGTACGTCAAAAAAAAAAAATTATTACCATTTTCAATCATTTCGAAAACCACGATAAATATATTTGTAGCCATGGTTTTATTATCAAACCAAAATTTTATAATTAAAAATTAGAGTTAGATTAGAGTTAAAATTAGGGTTGGAATTACATAAGCAGAAGTTTGTTTGATTTGCTGATGCAAATCAATTGCCCGGGTAACTTATTTATACACTTTAAAGTACTTTTTGAGTTTCATTGATAAAAAAGAAAAATTTTTTACACATGTCACTTCGTTTGAGTGTTGGAAAACCACCTTTAAAAATAATTTTTTATAATTTAAAATTCAAGAGGTATTAATTTAGTAACGATTTTTTTTAAAATGGGTAAAGAAAAAAGCTTGAAGTTAGTTTTAAAGTACTTTTTCAAAACAGAACGTCTCACTACAGCACTAATAAAAATCATTCCAAGATCTATTTGTAGCTTCAAAGCACTGTCAATATTCGCTATGCAGAAAGATCTCGCTTCTGATGAACTCTGCTTAGAAGGCAAAATATGATAAAATATATCCTGTCTATTAAATCTTGCAAGAAGGTGATTAGAAATATTTTTGTTTAAGAAGTTTATTATGTTATATTAAATATTAGTATGTTTGGGATTGTTAATTGTAAAATTTTTGAATTATATTGTATATTATAGATTCTTCAATGATTTTAGGTTTATTACGTAGTAATAAATATCATATTTGTCTCGTTCTACGCGTATCTATCTATTTTCTAAACATTTACAATAAATCCTTTTGTGTGTATTTATTAGTTTTCGATATTAGCAGTATTAAATGATAAAATTTTTACAAATCATGCAATTTGATTGGTTAATAATCACGGGAAATCACAGATAGATCTATAAAATTAACCAATCAAACAAATTTTTGCCTATGTGTTAGAATCAGCAGAAGGGACCGTCCCGAGTATGCTCTGAGTTTGCATATCATTACACAAACAATTCAATTTACTTAAGGGTAGAGTATACGTAGATCATTTTTTATATGATCTTTGTGGTACAATATAATTTTTATAAAAAATAAAACTTTGCTACTAATAAAACTTTTTACTATTGCAATTAATTTTTATCAAATTTTTATATAATATAGAATAAGATATATT